CGGCTAGTCAGTCAGTCAGTCTACTCAGTTCATCATGATTTCTAATTGACAGGACAAATGTAAAGATAATTGTCGCACCAGCAGAATGAACACTATATCAACTTGTTTTCCTGCATACTTAAACAAACGTTTGAGTGTGAAATAATTTCAACAGTCTACTGAAATGAATATCTGACTCCAAATTTCTTCTATCATTTTGCTTACTCATGTAAAGTCTGTCCCAAAAGCTGTCCACTGATTCGTCCATCAAAGTCAACCAGTCATGTTAAAAAAATGTAGAGAGCTTACCTGTGTGAAATATAACAAGCAGCTTGGCAAGAAGACAACAGCTTACAAACTGAGATAGTGAAAAGTTGCTCCCACCACTACTTTTATGTTTCACAACGTCAAAATTCAAGCAGAGCTGCTGCATTTGGCTATATGTTTCTGTCCCCCAGAAGCTTGTCCAGATCCAGTGATTAATAGATGCTATTAAATTTTACTTTCTCGACATCTTCTTTCAGTGCCGTGCGTTTGCTGGGGTAGTGGAGTGTAATTTGTGTGGGTTGTATTGAACTTCTTTATTCAAATTCTCGCAAAGTACAAAAAGGTTTATGTCATCAGCTTCCGACAGTTTTATTGATCCCAAACTGGCGTTGCCAAAAATAACCCGTCTTCATCATTAGAATAACAATTGTTAGGAAACAATATTCGGCTTCACACTAGAGCTTGTAAGTACGATCTAAGTGCTCTTGGAACCTACTTTGAGTCTGAAGGGGTAAAATGTACTTACTTGAGCTTTACTTAGTAACCAAGGAAACGTTCATAGTTCAAAGAAGCCGAAGTACGCCGCCAAGTGTGGTCTACACATACTTGAGAACGTACTTGACCAATAGGAAATGGAAGCCAACTGAAAGCGGCGTGCAGCGGTGCTACAATTCCGATGAACGGAGAGACAAACTTGCAAGCTGAGATCGATGGAAACATTCAGAATGGATGGCTGGAGTTTAGAAGACTCTATGGAGCATTCTTTTTTGTAAGTAAAAAAGTAGAAAGGAAAGAAAAGTCGATACAAGTGGATAAACTAATAACCTTAATTTGGATTTCATTTTCAGAGAGAGCCTAAATCATCGGTTTTCGTTTCATCCCACACAATGTGCGGTTCTGCCAAATGAATGATTTGACACTGATCGGATACCCATGTTATGCGCAAAGAGCTCTGGGTGCGTCAGGGGGCAAACATTGCAAGTCGCTAGAGGGAAATGTATAGCGAAAAATTGTTTCCAAGTCCAAAAAAAAAAAGCGATTTTGGGGAGAGATCAATGCTTTTTCGCCGTTGTTTTATCGAAAATGGTTTGGGCAATGTTGATACATGGAAAATGTAAGTTTATGTTTGAATAACCGTGAAATGTGTGATTAAAAGCTACCGATAACCTCCCTTACTTGCGTGAGGTTTATTGTGAAATTTACATTGAACAGAATATTTAAAATTTGAAAACACTCCTTGTTTCGAGAGGCTACCCGGAGCAAATGGTAGAAAAGACTCTCTGAGAAGTTAGATATAAAGACAGACAAGAATCTCTAAAACAGAAAACGAGAGCGCACAAGAAACCTCCACCCTTTGTCACGCAATTTCAACTGCATTACCAAAATTTGAAAAGCATAATCAAGGACGAATGGCGTATTAAATGCAAATACTCAGAGAGACATTCAAGGAGCCACTTAGAAAAGGAAAATCGCCTAAAGATGTGCTTGTAAAAGCAAAACAACAGCTTCAAATGAACAACACAATGGCCACAGCATGAGTCGCGAGGTCTGTCTATTCATTTTAATCAACCCCACACAGCACAATGATCGCCACCGGGATTTTTTTCCAATATTATTTATATAAATGAGCTTCAAAATAAGCCAAAAGTAGCCTTACATAACTTAAAAGGCTTTTCTGGGTTATTTCCTCTCGATTATACCTAAGTTTGTAATATTTTCGGACCATTACGCGTTGTAAATTTCACAATAAACCTCACGCAAGGAAGGGAGTTTGTCGGTAGGTTTTATCACATATTTCACGGTTATCCAAACAAAAACTCAAATTTTCCACACATCAACACTGCCTAAATTCATTTGCGATAAAACAGCGGCGAAAAATCGTTGATCTCTCTCCAAAATCGTTTTTTTTGGACGTCGAAACAACTTTTCGCTATACATTTTCTTCTAGCGACTTGCAATGTTTGCCCCCTGACGATCCCAGAGTTATTCGCGCAAACACGGGTATCCGATTACTGGCAAATCATTCATTTCTTTGCACCACAACCGATCCGTCAACAATTACAGTTTTCCGCACCGACTGTTCCAACTGCAGACCAGGAATCATCCAAAGGAAATTCATCATCAAAAGGAAAGGAAATCCGAAACACAAAGCCAAAAGCTGCAGATTGGTCCGTTCCGGAGACAAAACAACTACTTCATGCGTGGGCTCCTCGCTTTGAAAGATTGAAAGGAGCCTACAACAAAGTACGCACAGCGATTTGGAACGAGATTTACGAAAACTTCAAGAGCAGTTGGGATGAGAGTGATCGTACGTTGTTACAAGTCAAGGAGAGACAGCAAAATCTGGAATACGAATTTAAGCAGCTAAAGGTCAAAGCAATTAAAACTGGCGAAGAGGGCCTGAATAAAATCAAGGAAGGCTTTCCTTATTATAGCATTTTTGACCAAACTATGGGTTATCGTGACCGCGTAGATTCCGCCAAGATGGAAATTGAAGGTTCTTCTTTCATGCCAAGTGCGTCCAATGCTGACAGTACTCCATAAATCATTTCTTCCGGGGCAAAGGAAAGGGAGGAAAGCTAGTGCTGCAGGTGCTGCAAGATCGGAAAACGAGGACTGGGCTTCAACAAGTGCTGGCGTGAAACTTGGCTGCAGAGAAGTGCGTGTTAAGGAATCACGGAAGAGGAAACGAGGAAAAAGTGACGAGACTAATGGCACAGACGACTTGAGTGCATTCAAAGAAGTGTGGGAGAAAAGTCTTCAACAAGAAAATGAAAGGATTGAAAAGTCAATGAAAATGTTCCAAGAAAAGAAGTATGCAAACAGCGTCTCTTTTATCCCGATTTAAAGATTTAATGAAGGATTTGATGAAGGAATAGAGCCAGTAAACATTTGCTCATGTGCTGTTCACTTGACCATTTGAACTTTACCGTCGTCTAGTAAATTCGTTCTAAAATTATGCTTATAACAGACACGATTTTCCACCGTTGATTGTTCATCTTTTCACATTTGAAAAGCTCAATTTTTAATGGACGTTTACAAATAAAATTTCCTGCTTGTTACAGTTTTCACCTATTTTTAACAGTCGTTCTAATTGCATGAGTTGTAAAAGACATGGTAACCCCGTGAAAACGAAAACCCAACAAAATTCACGAATTAAACAATCAACAAATCAGCCACTTGTTTTTGTCTTTGTTTCCTTCCGTAGAAAGACAAGCAATTTTGACTTTTGCAAGGAGCACTTGCTACTTAAATTCAACACATTCAAGTTATATTACAAGTTATCCCACACAAAGTTCTTTAGAGCTTCTCTTACTTCAGTGCCGCCCTCCCGTAATGGCCCTGCATAATCGTCTCCAGAGTCACTGTCATCTGAATCGCTGTCGCTGCAATTGTACAAGTCTCCATGATCAATACAGATGTTACGTAAAACACATGGAGCAAGAACAGTTTTACTGAGTGTTCTGGTTTGCTGCTCAACTTTCTTTAATAGTAACCGCCAGCGTCCCTTGAGCATGCCAAATGCTCTTTCAACAACAGACCTTGCAGCACTAAGCTTTTTGTTGAATTTACGTTAATACGGTGTTAGGTGCCCTCTATTTTTATACGGTTTGACAAGCCACTTAAGCAGTGGGTAAGTGCTGTCTCCTATAATAAGAGGGAGGATTTCTGTACCACTGACGATTTTCATTGGCGATGTCAAAATTGTTCATTTTCTCCTAAATCAAAGAGGCCTTTTAATCTTAACACCCTGGCATCATGTATGCTTCCAGGATAGTAGTATGGGAAATGGGGCTACTAGGACATTATGAAAAAAAACGGCCTTCCCACCCCTCTAGAAATCAAAAAATACCCTCGCCGGGCCCCAACTGGAAAAAAGCATTTTCAGACCTCTCTGAGCAACTTCCGTTTCCAGCCCGCTAGTGGACAAATTTGATGGTTCCCACCCTTCTAGAAATAAAAAAAAAATGGCCCATTATTTGAAAATATATTTTTCATACTTTTTCAAAAAACAGTCTTCCCACCCTTCTAGAAATCAAAAAATGGCTCACCATTTTAAAATCATGGCTTCTCATGTCAATCCACTTTTTCACCACATACTTTCAGAAATCAAAATTTGCCTCACCATTGCTCAATATGAAATAATATTATAGCTCCATCAACCCTGAGTCACAAGTTATTAAAAATCACATATAAAATTACCCCTCCAAATTAGATATAAAGCGATGTCGCTATTAATATATTGGTAGTAATGAGTAAGATTATAATAAATAATTGTGTTTATAAAATTCACCCCAGTTATGATCTGTATGCAGCATCAAAAAATGGACAAATAATTCATATCATAAAGCGAATACCAAGTAGTGGTAATCTTCATAACACTGGTTATATCCAACTCCGTGTTCGTAGATATGCTCAAAAAGGTCAAAATGTTATTACGTTCATCGATTTGTTTGGGAATGTTATAACGGACTTATCCCAGATAATAAAGTTATTGATCATACCAATGAAATCAAAGATGATAATAAATTATGCAATCTCCAATTGATGACACAACAACAAAATTGCAAAAAGTGTGCCAAAAAACGTGATTGTACATTTGTAAAATACAATCATCAAAATAAAAGATGTGTGAAAGCCATCAATAAACAAACAAACAAAAGAAGTAACATACTATAATAGTCTGTATGCAGTAAATCAACAGTTGGGGATCAATGCTGGTATTGTGAAAATGGTTTGTGAAAAAATCAATAATGTGAAATCAGGCATGTCGACAAAAGATGGTTGTTATTATAAATTCGAGTATGTCAAGAAAGAAGATCTACCCGATGATTACAAAAAATCTGCCAACATAAAACCGAAAATGTCTGATGAAGAACGAAAAAAGCGTAAAAATGAATTATTAACAAAATGGCAACAAAAACAATACAAATGCCCTCGTTGTGAATAAATTTTGAAAACTGGTACTAGATGTACTCATAACAAAATATACGATAGCCAGAAACAATGATATTTTTGGCTAACATAAAATAGCAAAATAAACATGTAGTAAAAACAACACACCTGATAGAGAATCTATCTGTATATATAGGTTACATTATTTTCACCACAACCGAGTAATGTCGCTAATTTACATTACTCGATTAACGTTTATATTTTCACCACATCCTTCATGGACACCCAACTGTTGAAATCATCACTGTATCCCTTCCACTTTACTAAAGCTTGTTTTTTCCTATAATCTTTCCGAACAATTTTTTCAATTCTGAATACATTCTGTTTGGCTTTAACAGCTCAGGTTCATAAAAACTGCCTTTTATCTCCTCACTATTGAGATCTTTTAACTTGTATGTTATTGGATTCGTATATTGGATCTTATCAATTGTAATTACTTCTTCAGTTCAGTTTGGGGTATATCCTTTGTCAAACACCTTTCTTTTGTACTTACCTATTCTGACTTTATCACCTACTTTGAACTTTGGTTTTGATGAGGGTTCTGTATTACCATTCAGATTAAAATATACAATTCCTTCATTCTTCTTCTGATAAGCTTCTGTGGGTGTCATTTTTATTGAATTGTGTTTGGTGTTATTGTACTGTTCTAATATTTTGGGTAGAATGTCCAAATACTGTGTATTACCTTGAACAGTAAACTGCTTCCACATTTTGGTTTTTATTGTTTTATTCCATCTTTCTCAAACAGATGATTTTTCTTCATTCTTGGTGGAGTACAATGTTATTTTATTCTTGTCTAATAAGTTCTTGAAATGTTTGTTGTAATATTCCTTGCCCTTATCAGTCCATAAGTACTCAGGTTTTCTAACTTCTTTGAAAATGGTTTCGAAAGCTTGAGTTACAGTTTCACCTTTTTTATCCTTCAGCGCAACAATCCAACCATATTTACTGAACACGTCTAAGACCATTAGTAGACATCTGTAGCCTTTGTTCCACTTGCTAAACTGTTGCATTTCAACTAAATCAGAACACCATATTTCATCAATATGATTGACTATTACACGCCGTCGAGCAAAGTTACGTTTTATTGGTTTATGTAATTTATCAGCTAATTTTTCTTGCCAGTTTATTTCACTCGACGGCTTTTTCGTTTTTTGGAACACCAAGACCTAGTTTTTGTTTTTTGTCCATCAGGAATCGTGCTGTTCATCCCCACTTTGGCATTTCATTATAAGGTATTTTGTCCAATGACTGGCACCATTTGTCGGTCACAATCTCCTTTGTTTTTACCCATGTCGTAACAAATATCGTGATAAGCGGCAATTTCATCCACTTTGTTATATGGTTGTACGTGCCATTTGAGAACTTCACCGGTGTTTGGGTCGTATTCTAATTGCTTATCAAGGGTGTTGTACGGCCCCATATATCTGTACTTTCCAGGAGTAAAACCGGCTTTAGGTTGAGGTAGTTTGCCAATTGCTTTGTGGATGTCAAGTCTACCACCTTTGTACATATCCGCATCCAGATCCATTCTATCGGTTTTGTATTTATATTAGGTATAACTTTGGTTGATAATTGATCCAATGCTTCAGAACCAACTTTTTAAATAACAGGGGTCGCTCTCTTTATTGCATAATCAATTGCTTTCTTTTGCAATTTTGGATCTCTCATGAATTCAGAAGCATGATATCTCCCAGCTTCTGTACCTTTCTTGGCTAAATAAGGAATCCCCTTACTGATAAATAATTCAGCAGCTGTATCTCCAACACTGCTCAATATACCTTCTCCCCTCGTTCTTTTTTCAGCTTTCTCCGCCATTTTTGCAAGTTCATAACCAAATCCATTGTTTGAAATATATTGCCCCCCCGCTTGTGAGGGCTCAATTAGTTTTTTGACTTCACAAATTTGGTTTTTGTTATTCCACATTTAACACAAATGCATTTTAATATCAGTCTTCCATTTTTAGCCGTGACATATTTTTCACTACCTGGAACACATTCTGTGACCTTTTTCTGTTTTACGCAATAAGATTTCATATATAATATATATTACATAATATTTTAATATGTCTCTCAATAAACCGTTCATTCTTCATTGTATTGTGTATGTCAAACACTTTTAACACATCCAAATATGATTTCCCTTTGTCCATTTCATTCAAAAAGGACAAACAAAAATAACCACAAATAGTTGTCAGAAGATTTTGAATTTGGTTATTGTGATGTAATAAAGTTAAGTTGAGTTTTTTAGGGTGATCCACCATTTCTTGAAACGGCAGCATTCCAAATGAATCAAAATAGTTTACAACCTTATCCCTAACATACGTCGTAACCCAGTGAGATCCACTCATATATGAAGGTTCAAGATTGTAAATAAATAATGCTTGCTTATGATTAAGAGGCACTGTTTGATCTCTCGACAAAACATCATTGATCGGTATTCTGAGATACTTACACCATTCTACCAAATCATGGTTGCTCATCGGAATATTTTTGTGAAATTTTAGAATATTTGTCAGATTATTGGAATGGAGTTGAATGGGCTGTTTTTGCCTAATAGTAGTCCCCTTCCCGACTTTTTTCCCCTTGTCCGACGGTCTTTTTCCGAGTACCAATAAACGGGGGCGGCTGTCCTGTTTGAGGAGCTGCACCACCCCTTGATTTTGGTAATGGTGGCCTTCCAAGTTGTGGAGCGCCTTTTCCTGTGATGGCTTTCAACAATGGTTTACCAATCATATCAACAGCAAGTGGAAAACCAATTAAAGCAGGTAAACTACCTAGGAATCCACCTGATTGAACTATTGTTGGTCTTATTGTAAGACTTCCACCAGTCTGGAGAGCGTTCAAAATGTCTTGTTTCTGTTTTGCAGTTAAAAGATATTTGTAAGTTATTAATTGATCAACTTTATTTTGTGGAATCAAAAAACCACCTGTTTGGCCTC